TTTTATGTAGTAAATTGGCTAGAACTGTATTTTTATTTAACAAATTAAAGAACAATGTAAGTGAACAAATTATTCTAAATTGTTACTACGCATTTTTCCATTCTCACCTACAATATGGTGTTCTCTTATGGGGTAACTCTGTAGGAGCCAAAACCGTTTTCAAATGGCAAAGGAAAGCAGTCAGGTGCATTAGAGGAACAATGCCCAGGGAAGATTGCAAAGCAGATTTTAAGGCCCTAAATATCCTAACGCTTCCATCTTTATACATTTTAAATTGCTTATTATACGTAAAAGAGAATATAGACCAGTATAGCATCCAATCTGACATACATAAACATTACACAAGAAATAGCCATCATCTCAACTTACCACTTACAAGACTTACACTTACACACAATAGCTACAAATATCTTAGTATACAATTTTTTAATAAATTGCCCCCTTCTGCAGTAACGATTCCAATAAAAAAATTCAAAACAGTCCTTGAATCATGGTTAAAATTAAAATGTTTTTACTCTGTAGATAAGTTCTTGTCCTTAGAGGTTTTAGATATAAGTTTTTAAATAATTTATTTAAGATCAAGCTTCCTGTTATTTATGCTATGACTATGTTTAATTCTTCAATGATAAGATACCATTTGACAATGTCAATTGCTTTTGTAGAGCTGAAAGACAATAAAAAGATTTGATTTGATTTGATTTGATTCAGCCGTCTAGGAGGAGTTTGCGTATTACGAAATGCGTAAGAGTCGACGTATAAGAGCTTCGCTCGCTCCGCTCAATAAAGACCGGCGAATTAGCCTGGCATTTCAAGTTTGATTTTAGTCGATTATTTTATTTTAGAAAGACCGGCGAGTAAGCCTGGCCAGTAGGGAATTAGTTTAGTTTATTAAATTCTTTTTACTTTAAAAGAGACCGGCGAGTTAGCCTGGCAATTAGGGTGATACTCTATACTCCGTTCAAACAGCCGTGGCACCTGAGGGATTAGGAGGCCCCAAGGGTTTCCATGGGGTCTCCTAATCCGTCAGGTGCCACGGCTGTTTGAACGGAGTATAGTTTACTGAGTTGGTTAATTTGATAAAGACCGGGAAATTAGCCTGGCACGAGACACGCGAGAACAAACACTGCGTTGGCAATTGTTTTAAAAGTGATTATTAAAGCGATGATGAGTGTGATGACATCGTTGACCCCCTGTGTGGTGAGGTGTCACTCTGAGCTTTATCAGACAATAAAAGACGGATAGTTCAAAAGTGAATAGCGGAAGGACCTTGGAGTTTCCCAGCTCGACTTGAGCGATTCCGAGCATTTTATTTGTAAGGCGATACGGTAGAGGAGTGTAGTACGGGAGAGCCTCAGATAGGAAGGCCGCGACCCCGGCGCGCCGCCGTAGCACCTTACAACACACCTTATGAAAACACTCTTTAAATCCAAAATCCAAGTAGTAGTCAATTACTTCACCTACAATACATCATCCCATAACCAACTGCTGCTCTGAGCACCAACACTACCTTAGCAAAAAATGAGATTGATTTATCCTGCCTGAATTTGATTTTAAAACTTCTATTAATAATAACCAAGTATTCAGTTTCACAAGAAAATGTGCTCTTAACAATTCTCAAAAATTAGTCTCACGGCCACAAATAAATAAACTGATTTAATTTCTGTAACATATCGTTTATAAAGAGAGCAAATACAATTGTTTTTCCAAGGCTCATAATTTAAGTAAATAAGTTCCACTCTGCCCTTGATAAGCCAAGTGACAAGGAATATTATCTAAGTTATCGGTTAACACAAACACACTATCTCTGTCACCAAGTTCAAGGTCAAGGAAGAGCTATTGTTGGTGAAGTACACAATGGTCACAACTAACTGGGACAGCAGCCAAGTAAACTGCCAATATAAGACTGTCATACCCATTTTAATCTCAATGGATCTTCTTTGCTTGCACCAGTAAATTCTTTTTTAAATTTGATTTGGGGGCCTATTTTAGTTTTTTTTTAAGTTTGAGCTTAGTTGTTAAAAAATAACTAATACAGTCTTAACGTGCACCAAGCAACTTGCAAAAGGTGCACATTTCAAACCCTGTCTCTATCTATCTATATAAATAAAATTAGAGTTTTGTCTGTACATTGCTCAGAATTATATACTTTTAGGTTATTTTTACGTTTTATACATTAAAGAAGCAGAAACGAGTCTTATCTCAATTTCTGTCTGTCTGTCTGTCTGTCTGTCTGTCCCTTTGTCTGTAACACTCAAGATGGCATTTTACGCAATCTTCTCCGTGAAAACCAGAGTACATATCAAGATCCAAGTCATTTTAATGTATTCACTGGATTGGCGAGAGTGTCTTTAGTGATTTAAATATAGCCTCACTACTTTGTAAATAAAATTACGGACGTTCAAAAATGCAGTTTTGTGCGATTTTTGTCAAATTTTTGTTCAATTTTTATCACATAATCGTCTATGAAATAACGAACAGCTGTTCGGATCAAGATTATTTTTTCTAGCTGTCAATGACATGTTTACAAATGTTGTTTACAAATACCGCAACTATTTAGAATCACGTTTTGAAAGCAAATCCCAACCAAGTGAGATTAAAAACGTTTTTCTTACATAACGGATTTAATTAATCGCAAGTGCAATAATATAGTCTAATAGTGTAACCGTAAATGAAATTAAATAACTAGACATCGTCCAAATCGGAACCAGAAATTCTTTGAGTATAAAATGTTTCTTGAGTTTTGACAACCAGAAAGAAGAAGACCTTGAATCAGTGTTGTATAGGGCTGTGACACTGAAATGATCGTCGCCAATAGCTTACAAAAAAGGTTTCCACTCATTGACGGCGCTTCAATGGCGGTTGTGTAAAGTAAAAAATCACAACTGCAGTGGGTGATTGTAACAGAGGTTTAACAGAGGAAGTGCTAAACTCGCTTTTCCAATGTGTCACTTTCTGTTTCTACTCACCGTGTGATGCAATCGCTGGACCATACAGCCAATAGGCCCATAGCTCATATCTTGGGTACGTAAGCCTACATATTTATTCATAACAACCTTTTTGACGACGATCCTTGATACCGGTACTTTTCCATAGAATACATGGCCTACCTAGTTAAAAAATAAAATTACAAATGACCAAAACCCCAACATTGTGTGATTTTCGTCACATTTCCTTCTAATGTTAATAGATATACTAATCATTGTTTAGAGAATGCGTAATCTATTAAATAACAAAAAGTTGTTTGGATAAGGTTGCTCTTTTTTCAAACTGACACCGATAAGTTTACGCTATAACTTTTTACGAGAAAATCCAAAAGCAAGAGATCAATAACCTCGGGAATAGATATTAATGTATTTAATTGGTCCGATTTACTATAGTTCTTAGGTAGGTTCTTACGTAGGTACTGGTTCTTTTCCTTAGAACGGGTAGTTTACAAATTTGATATCGTTGGTGTTGCACCTTATTTATTAGAGCCGTCCGTATTCAATTTAAGTGATGTCTTAACTCTGTATAAGTTTTGCTTTTTCTGTCTGGATTCCAAATCTTAGCTTACCCAGTATGCTAAGAAAATGATAACCTATTTGAGTAAAACATTTGTTGGGCAAACCATCATGAATTGATTACGCCTTTATATTGTTTATGTATCAATAGTTCGTGGCCTTTGTTGGATTGTTGTATTGTGTTGTTTTGTTGTATGTTGGTAACGCATTGATGTCCTTATTTCTCAGTGTTTCACGGAATGGACAAGAGCACCTTTGATACTGAAAATGTCAACCGGAATAAAGTGTTAAATGGTGAGGTTGAGGTAGTACTTTAAATACGTTTAAGTTAACCGATGTGGAAAGTATCTTTCAATTATAGGCCTATTTTAGGGCTACACTTCATGGATCTATAAAACATTTTTTAGTTTAATCATTGGACATATGGACCAACACGATCCGGGTGACATTTAATTGCGAAGCATTTATTTTGGCTTGAACTGTCAGATACTGCATTTACGAAGGTTTATATATAATAGTTTTGCCAGCATATCTGCAAATATGCAAACTAATTGCTGTTCTTAATCTTAATATAAGAAGGTTTCAACTGACTACTATAAGATCCCCGTGCGTAGAACGGGCACACAGCTAGTATAGAATAATTTAAGGAGTGTTTTTTTACAAGATAATGAATAAATGAATAGTTTTTTTGTGTTTTCCTTAAATTCTAATAATTTTGTTTCTACGCCATACCCTCGGGGGAGCAAGCTGATCTAGAGGTAGAGCAAGGGGCTTCGGTGCCTGAGGTCCCGGGTTAAAATCCCTCCAATCACCGATGGATTTCATCTATGAGATATGCTGCAATCCTCTAGGACTAGTCTAAAGTAATGTGTAAAACAGTTGTGGCCAGGTTAGAACATTGACTATATTATGTAGTCTAGTCAACGGTTAGAACTAGCGTCCTAGGATGTGAAGGTAGGATATAAAAAAAACCTTACATAATCCCTTTACTTGTGCCCATACAAAATCACTCCTAAAACTGCATTAGTAACAAATTATTTCATAACTATAAGTGGAACTATCTTATCAAACTAGGCAATTTTTTTGTTTTGGTTTACAAACTTTGTTCAAGATATGAAGGATAGTCTTCACAATTTGAAGTAAACCAGCAACAAATTGTGATTGTTACTGTGAGATATTCATCGCTCTGGACGAACCCAATAACAAATATGAAGAGATAATCAAATTAAATTTTGCTATTCCCAAGCTTAACTGGTTAGGTTACTGTTTCCCTAGCAACATTTTATACTTCCATAGGAAATTGTATGGAAATGCAGGAAATTAACTCGCAAATACCCTTCCACTAACAATCATAGCAACAAGCACATTTACACTGAGCATGCTATGTTAATATAATTCAACAACTTAAAGGTAGAGAAGTATGTAGAAGTACAATGGTCAATACTATTCAATAATTTCAAATAGGAGTAGGTCTACAGAGATCCTAAGTTTAAAACTTACCAAAAACTAGGTAACAAGTGAGAAAAATGCTTAAAGCAACAGTAGTGGACCCCATTGTGGAGCCGACTGAGAACTTCTTACTTCTTTGTTCAGACCTCCAGACACAAACAAGATAAGAAATGTAATCGGAGCAAGCTAAGAGAAACACAAGCCGATGATGTGACCTTTTTATCACTGACCCCAGAGTACCCAGAATGTGTGAGAGGCTACATTGTGTGGTTGAACATTGTTACAACCATGACATTGTGGTTCTTTATCAGCAGTACCACATATATTCTACCATTGACTCTTGAATACAGAAGTTCTACCATGAGATGGTATGGTACATCGATTTGAAATTGGTGGTTGTGTGAGGCTCATACTATCTAATAGTACTGAGCTTTGTTCAAGATGTTCAGTCCTGCTACAGTAGTACTTTAATAATGTTTTATTATTTACTTTAGCTAGCACTACCTACACTGAATGATTCTTAACAGTACTGAGGTTTTCATATGATGTTCAACAGTACTATGCTGATTTGTCACACAGTAACAGTTGGTCATAACTAATACTATGAAGCAAATTTTGTGGGTAATCTTGGTGTTTCTAATATGATTTTAGTTCTTAACTTAATCTAACAACGTCAAGGTAGGATTTGCATAAATCACGAGACACCATTAAGTTTTACATATTGCAACAGCACTGTTAAGGACACTGTGAGGCTACTGTTTGAAAATTATGAAGTCAAAACATAGATCATGTTGAAGATTTAAACAGATCTGCACATTTAACCATTTTGTCACATTATGCAAACAATAATGCTTGATTGTAACATATAAAACAGCTCAAAGATAGTTATGGATAATTTAGTGAGCAGTGCATTTAGCAAATTTCCCATAGGGAATAAGCTATTTATTACCATAGGTCTCATGGTAAGACCTAGACCCTGGACGATTTACTTTTTTGTTCTGAGGTACTGAGATTCCAAAAACACCCTCCGTTCAAATTTATATATACTAGATAACATATGTTGCTCGAAATCGAGCAAAACTGCAACTTGTAATAAAAAAAATCTATATAATTAATACGCTACATGAAACTTTGTCGAACTCCTCAGCCATTTCTTAACCGATTTTATCCATTGACGTCTCATTGGAAAGAGCGTGTCGCGTAGATTTGCAAACTGGCCTTACATTTTTGTAAACGTCCCTTGGGCTCTGCCCCAGTGGGTTTGAAAGTTCACATGTTATCCTTATGAAGAAAATAATTGTTTACATTTTGATCAGCTGTATAATTTAATTGCTGTTATTTATTTTTCAATTCAATGAAACGCATTGAGTACATTTATTTACTATTTCAGTTTGTGTAAACATAACCTCCAAGACGGATCGTGTTAGTATGATTGTTTATGTATGTGTATGTGTGTGTGTCCATTAGAACAATAACGCAAGCAATGATTACGGTATCGAATTTTGACAAAATCCGGTAAAACGTGTAAACCTACGTTTATTCAAACGAGTTTGCGAACCAGCATGATCGAACTATAGGAAAAGGCGTCTATGGGAGGTTTTATGGGGTAAAAATAAGTTTTTCTCCATTTTTGACCTTAAAAACATTAAATTTCACAGTTTTTTCCAAATTATTTTGTAGACTGTAGAGCTTAAAAAGATGTAGTATAGTGAAGCGTTATCGAATGTGTAACGGATATGAAGATAATTTAAAAAAAATTAAATTTATAATTCTCATATTATTCTTATGGAGAATAAATAACCTGTTGTCGTTTACTTCTTTGTATATCTATAATATTAAAACGAAACAGTGTTTTTTATTTCACGATTCTGAATCAACCACTCGACGGATTTTCATGATTTTTTTGTTGAAAGAAAGATAATTTTGAGAACTAGGGAATGTCGAAGCCATAATTTTAGTTTAGGGTCCCAGTTTTTTAGAAATTAAGTTTTAATTTTTAAAAAGTAGCAGCCGACGCTAAGATTCTAAACTAGCTTTTGGCATAAAATAATTTGCTTAACATAACAGCTGTAAACATTCAGCTTTTGTGTCACAAATTCAGCATTTGGATAAAAATGTAAAGAGATACTTAGGGTTGACTTATTTATACTATGTGTAATGCAATTCATTGATACGTTCAATTCTTCTGTAAGAGGATGACAGATTAATGTAATTATACATAGTAAAATACTAGGATGTTCAAATTATTTTTTTAAAGCAATCTTTGTAATCTTCGATTTGCTTTAGAGCAATATAATTTGTTTTAACTAACAGCTGGTTAAATATAAACTATGGAACTATGAGGTTATTTTATTTACTCTTATTTTGTCATTGATTATAGGAAATAAGTAAGATTAGTAGAGATAATTAGACCATAGTTTAAAATAGTTTAGACCAAAATTAATTAAACCACAGTACAAATCGAGGCTCTGTACATGAGTCTTAATAAAAAAGGATAAATGCAAATTATTTTACTATTCCACTTTTCGAGGAAAGAATAGAAAAATTACAATGTTTACATGTTTTAATTCTTCATGGTAGCTTTTTGTTTACAATTAATGTTTGTCTGCTTTAACTTTGTTTGGTTTAGGCCCGGAAATATTGATGTCATAAAAAGAAGATCAAGAATAATCAGGAATCACGATTTTAAATTACCACCACAACCTCAGCCGAGTTTTATACAAAGATTGAACACAACGTCAACATTGACCTAGGATACTGCAGTTAGACAAACCATCCTTTTATGAAATCGTGTTCAGTTGTGGTTATGTTTGGGGGCGCCTACATCAGCGCCCCCAAACGTGAAAATATCACTTTATTTCAACTATGAATATATTGTAGTTTAAATTAACTAATATGGGAAATTACGATGTACATTTATTCAATGAGGGTGGGTAATTATCAAGGATAGAACTGATAACGGTATGGATAATTAACATTGACAATTACGTCATTAGATTTACTAGCGTGTTTACTTTTTATATTCCTGCTACATGTGACCAGTTCTTTTTTTTTCAAATGAATGTTATTTGAACCAAACAGCTGTTTCAAAACAAACTGTTATTGTTTTTACTTTTCTTTGTTTACGCTTATTTATTTAGCAATTAATGCAGTGAAATTGATAAAAGGATAGGTGTGACGATTAGTTTTGATGTTAGGACACCAAAGTTAAATTATGTGTACTGTGAATTTTTATACACACACAATTTCCAGTTATTGTGGTGATAATAATTATGGAAGAGGCAGGTATGCTATGGAAGGTGGTATCGTTGACTAGGTCTACACACTTCTCAATTGACTATTACTCCCTCTACTGTAGGCTACTTATAATCAGTGTGCGTCTTGCGAATCGGCTGCAAATCTCACTTCATTTGGTCACACAACATTTGTTTACAAGATGATTTTTCACATTAAAACTGCAAGAAACTTTGTCTTTATATGTGTAAACCAGCCGATCTGAATTGTACACGGTTTTAACTGACTACTGAATTCCCGTACGTAGGACGGGCTAACACCTCGTATATATTTAATCAAACTTTGCAATTTAATATAATCTAATCAACATTTCAATAAAAACTACACCACATTGTCTGCATTACCTTCCATGTAGCAGCAACAATAGGAAATAAGTCTGACAATTTTAAGGGGAATATTTTAGTATAAAAGTATAAAGTAAGTAGTATAAATCTAGCCAGGTAAATGGAAATTTGCTCAGGCAGGAGTATTTTTTACTTATGGTCATAATATCATACCCGCTTGGATCACAAATTCCCTGAGCTTACAAAAACTGGACAAAGGGGTTGAAATAAAAAGTTGTGAGTAAAAAATATAATAACTGATATATTTTATTTAAGAGATTATACCAAACATAACACTTCGGAGGAAAGTTTCTACAAGACAGTTGAGACAGTGACGAATGCAGCTGTGATTATTTAGCTGTCAAAGTTCTACCAACCAAAGATCAAGTTGTAGAGTGCAAAACAAGTCATAATATATTACACTTGGTTCTACTGTATTATTTTTTACATTTTCTTTATGTGTAAACTCTGTAATAATGGAATAAAACTTAACTTTTATGAACGGTATAAACATACAAGAAGCAAAAGTTTGATTGTGGTTGAATGCATAGGAACGTAATGAAGAATACAGAAACAGCAAGTTTAATTTTATTGCAAAATAAGGCAAGATGCTCTAGAAGTAGATTGCAATCAAACTTGCAGACTTTGCAGGATTTCAGTTTCTAAGAGCAAAATTTTGAATCATATTTATACTAATTAAAATATTACAAAATGTATCCAGCAAATGTTTAGATATTTTTAAAATATATATAGGCTATATGACATGGAAAATAAACTGTCCCACACTGATTGTATGTTTGGGGTATATGACCTATGATTAGAGATGTGTAAACTTGTCATTTTGAACATAATAATATAATGGTTACACAATTCTCAAATTGAAATAACCTTTATTTTAACGTTTCTTACTTAAATAAACTTTATAACAACTTTAAAACAAGGTCCTATGCAAGAGGTGAATGTGCCCATACAATACATACAAACTTTTTTATACTTTTTACAATTAGCTATTCAAACTTAAATATGCCTAATTTAGTTTTATTAGTTATTTAAGTTGTAATTATAAGCTTTATCTTGCTAAGTTCTAAGAGCATTATTGTTGTTGAATGTTTAGCTTGTTAATGTTAGCAGAATTAAAGATATAAAATATAATTTTTTTAAATGTTGATTTGTAATGAAAAACCAAGTGTGGTAAATAAAGATTTTGTTTTCCATTTTTATGTGTTTGCTTTTAGCCTGTTTCAAAAGTATATTGCAGCAATAAAATTTTTTTTATTTACAATACAGGATTAAAAAAAAGTATACTTGTATACTTTCTGAGGATACATCATGGACAAGGCTGCCTTCTTATAATTACTGATTTTTCAGCCTTGGCTTCCCAAAGGCCAATAAACATGAGCCAATTAATTGTTGTTAAGAGTAACATTTTGGCTTAAGTGATGAATATCACTTTATATATATCTGCTTTGAATATCTGCTTTAAAAGCTAAATGTTAATATGTATTGAATAAATTACCAATGCTCGGGAAACACTTTCTATAAGACGAGTAATTCTTTTGTTTTGACCAAATTAAGAATTATTGTACAAGAGGTTTAAGCATTTATATGCGTGCTCTATTCTAAAAAGTGATTGTTATAGAGACCATATTATGTGCAAAGTATTAAATGATGATAAAAATATTCATATTCTTAAACATTTTTTATATTTTCTTTTAGACTGTTAAATTCTTAAAAGACTTGTTTCGAATCCTGTTACTTTAGGTATGGCAATGTCAAGACACGAATCATATGACAGCATAGCCTCCACTAACACAAAGCCACAGCGAGATAAAAGTGGCAACACCATCAAAACAAAACAGCTGTTGCACTGATTTACAATGGAGAAGACAATGTTAATGTTTACAATTTTGTTATATCTGTTATTACCATCCACTGTCTATCGACTAGTGTGACATTATGGATCCTGCAGCATGGCATGTTTTTCTAGTAGGGCCTTGTATTAGGACGCTATGATGAGTCATAATAAATTGAATTATTTGTTAATGAATACAATGTTAACTATTTAACTATACCTAAAAGTATTTAATAAACAAGGTATTAAAGTGAAACTAAAGCTAGTATCAGTGGTTTTCCCTGAGATTTTTATAACGAGAATAGTGGTTATTTGATTGAAAACCCGAGTTAGAAAGTTGTAGATTATACTTTTTACTATATACAAATCAGTGTTTTTTTTCTTCAGAAATTAAAAAGAATAATGGCTGTTCAGTTAAACCCCAATTGAAAATATGCAGATGGTTAATAGTTATACAATTAGGTTAAAACCTATCCACCAAACCTTTTCCTTCATTGTCAAATAACAAACTCTAAAATCAGAAATTGAAAGCTACTATAATAATTAACTAAGAGGGTAATTTATGGTCCAAAAGACAATTAACTTAATAGACATGAACCTTCTGAATCAAACTTTTAGTTAGTGCCCCACTTGTGTGATACACAATATGGTGAATAATTATTTTTCATCACTGTTTTGAAGTTCACTGTTTTTTTCACTACCAACATCAACAGAGATCTATTTTAATACTCCAGTGAGTTTCTAGCATTCATGAAATAAGCTAAAATCATCTCCAAAACTAGGACAATACAAAGTAAACCTGTAACTCAGGATTTTTTTACTTAGGACTATTTTCATAGAGAAATTGAACCATGAAATAAAAACTCGTAGGATTTCCTAAATATTTCTGTAGGTAACAATAATGTAATGGAAATGCTTGGTAAATATCTACAACCTAAGCTTACATTACATGGAGTGGATTTCTCAAAGAGGGCTACAAGCCAAGATTTTAAAAGTTTTTCTCCCTCGAAAACAGTATTTACTAAAAAGACAATCCAAAACAGATAAGATGCAGAGTACAATCTTAAATACATAAACATATTGCATGTGGAACCACTGTTATAATCAAATAAGTCCCTTTATTTGGGAAAAAACTACTTATAATTGAATTGTTATAAAACAAAAATGATAACCAAGGTAAAACAATAACCACTCACCCGCTAATTAACACAAGTTTACAAGAAACAAAGCTAGTTATCCAATTAATTTTTGCAAACTTGATTATTTTTGTACTGGCCTCCTAATCATGAAATATTTTTTTTATATTTGTTTAAAGAAGGTTGAAGGCAAGCTTGGGAGATTAACAACAAAACCACTCCAAAATCTAAACCCAACCAAAAGACTATCTTAACACCAACCCATTATCAAAGTTCATGTGATAACTTCTCAGCTCTCCCATTCAATTTAATTCTAACAGTATATATTGTTTTTGCTTTTTGTATGTAGATTCCAATGCATCTAATCTGTTTCAAACTATCGACCAAACACTCACACATTCACATGAGTAGCACTTCTGCACCAATTGACTAAGTCCACAATTCCTAAGCAATGTTTTGGCTTTGTTATACCAGTTTCAAGTACATTTCTTCTAGCTGAGGTTTGAAATAGTCCTTTAACTGTGGTCTCTTGGTCTTGAACGTTGGAGTCAGCAAACCGTTCTGTATAGAGAATGGATCTGGATGTAGGTAAATGTCTTTCACCTGTGACAAAAGAAGTGAATTATAGTTCTTCAGCTTAAAAAAAATATACATGAAAACATAACCGATAAAATACTTTGTAAAAATATGATAATTATTTTATAGATGTTTTGTTTTAAACATTCAGCACAAAACCAATTAATAGAGCTATCTGAAGATAACGTATCTTCACTAGACAACTTTTTTTACTTTATTATTACTGAATAATCATAAAGCCCAAAATCTGAGTATTTTCAAATATATCAAGTACTTTATTGTTTCCTAGGTTCATTGTTATACCAATTTACTTTTACCATTGATTTTGGATACTGAAGAAGAAATTTTTCATCTATTTTTTGCAACCTTAGGCAGTCTTTTACTCAAAAAGAGCAAAATGAGCTCATCATAAAACATTAATAGTTGAAGTTATATCTTTTTGTTTATTATTCAATAGGGACTGGTACAGTTAGGTACTAGAATTTGAAATAATAATCCTCTAGTGTGTAAAAAATGAATAAGGTATTTTACAGCAACAAAATATTCCACTGAACTAAGTTATTTTTTTAATAAAAATTGCAATAACTTTAACATGGGCATGAAATATATACTTCACAGAAGCATACTGAAAGTGATTAACCTCATTGCTGTTAAAAGTTTTGTATTATCTGAAAAGGTTATAAAAATCAATACATGTTGGATAGCTACTTACATTGTACTATGTAATTTTTATTTTGTTGGGAATTGGATCATCATAAATGCAAAGTATCTATATGTATATAAACTGTAAGCAGCCAAAAAGGAAGCTCATTTTTAAAGCTGGCAATTTGTTGGACTTTTTCCCCAGATCCAGTTTGTTAGTTAATTTCAATAAAATTGTTAGGTAAACATGTTTTACATTTTTAAAATACCTGAGCAATGTCTTATTAACATATATTTATTTTAAATAGAAACAAATATTCGATAATCTGGAATAATAGCTGGGAATTAGTTACAGAAATATTTTTATTTCAATATAGTTATCATCTCCCCCATCACATTAGCAGTAACATCATAATCATCTTCTGTAATAGTGGTAATATTTATTGTGTTCATATCTCGCGACTGCGGCAACAGGTAAACTTAATTTCTTAGGTATCAGAAGTCATCTATTAAAACTAAATATTGAATTGACACGTCCCTATTATACAGTATTTTACCCTATTTTAAATATGAATGGTCTTCATTATACAGTAAATATTCCCACAAGAGTAACTGAAACAGGTGAATCAGCTATCGATAATTTTATCACCAACATAGATTATAAAAGTTATAAAGTAGAATGTTTTATCACTGCCTTATCTGATCACGATGGGCAACTTTTCAAGTTTTTAATTCCTAAAGTTAAAAGTTATAAAAATTCAAAATTAACTATGGAGGGCAGAAAATTTAGCCAGGAAAGTATGAAAATGTTTCTTGATGATCTTGCAAATGAGGATTGGAACCTGCTTTATATTAGACCTGTAGAGGAAAAATTCACATATTTCTATGATATTTTAAAATAAAACTCTAATTTGCGATTTCCAAAAACTAAAATAGTTAAATATAATAATTATAACCAATGGATTGACGATGAAGTTATTTATAAGCAAAGGGAAATAATTGATCAATACCATACTTATAGATGTAACAAAAATAATGTAGCATTGAAAAAGAATACAAAAGAGAATAAGAAACAGTACAAACTAATGATTCAAACTAAGCAAAATTGTCTTTTTAACAATAAAATTAAAAGCTCTACTAATGTTAACAAAACTGTATGGAGTATGGTGAATAAGGAAATAAAAAACAAAAGAGACGTGCAATTTTCCAATATTATTCTGGAGCACAATGGTAGGAAGATTGTGGACCCTGATATTGTTTCAAATGTTTTGAATGATAACTTTGCTAATATGGTGGAAACTCAAGTTATTCCAAATTTAAAAACAAACCCAATTAGGACTGCTACAAATTCACACTATTCAGAAACCAAGTTCAAATGCAGAACAATAGATGAGCAGATACTTAATAAATTGATTGATTCGTTGAAACCAAAGTGGTCATCAGGATATGATGAAATACCTATCAAAATTTTAAAAGAAGCAAAATCAGTACTGTTAAAGCCATTGGTACACGTAATCAACTCATCCCTAATAACTGGCATTTATCCTACTCAATTAAAAATTTCTAAGATTATTCCTGTTTTTAAAAAAGGGAAACATAAGGATGCCTCGAATTATAGGCCGTTAGCTAAACAACCATCACTCTCTAAACTTTTTGAAAAAAGTATGCTTTATCAGTTGATAGATTATTTTGAAATTAATAATATGTTGGACCAAGATCAACATGGTTATAGAAAAGAAAAGTCCACCATAACAGCATTGATATCTTTTATTGAAGATATTTTAGAGAATTTGGATAAAGATAACTGTATTATTGGTGCTTTTTTAGACATGTCTAAAGCCTTTGATAGTGTTCACCATCCTACCTTAATAAATAAGCTTAAAAATGATGGTATTGATGGTAAAGAATTAAACTGGATAAGGTCTTATTTGGAAGAAAGGCAACAGTATGTCAGTGTTAGATTTGTTGAGAAGCAAAATTTGTACCTACAATATAAAATCTAAGTTAAGGCAGGTACATTACTCGGTTCCTCAAGGATCGGTTCTTGGACCGTTCCTATTCTTGTGTTATCTGGGAGGTATGCAGGAACACCTAACTAATAAAATCCAGAATACCAAACTATGTTTATATGCAGACGACATCAGTATGTCAATACATGACAGGAATACAAACAGTATAGAATCCAAAAATAGAAAATGCCATTTTAATAGTAAACACTTTCCTCAATGATAAAAATCTTTTACTAAATAAGAACAAAACTACTTTGGTTAAATTTTCTTGTAAAAACTCAAAAAACAATGAAAATTTTAATAACTTTGAGAATAACACCAAGTTTTTAGGTCTTATAGTTGATAAAACATTAACCTGGTCCAAACATGTTGATCATGTTTGTAAGAAAATAAGTTCTGGAATCTTTATAATTAATAGACTTCAACCTTTTTGCAATGTACAAACCCTTAAAACAGTTTACTATGCCCACATTCACTCCCATATAACTTATGGCATTGAAATTTATGGGGATACGAGTAATCAAAATTTAAAAAGAATTTTATTATTACAAATGGAAGCTATTAGACACATCCTAAATTTAGAAAGAACCTCTAGCAAAAATTCTTTAAGAAAATATTTCAAAGATTTGGAAATTTTAACAGTTCCGTGTTTATATATCTATAAAACCATTCTTTATGTAAAAAATAATGAATCAAAATTAGAGCGACAACAGGATATCCACAATTACAATACTAGATATAAACAAAATTTCACAATTAAAAATCATAAAAAAGAAAAATATAAGCAAAGTCTTCAGTATATTGGCATTAAATTTATCCATCAACTCCCAGATAGCATAAGGAAGGAGCAATGCACAATTAAATTTAAAAAGAAACTGAAACAATTTTTAATAGGAAATTCTTTTTATAGTCTGGATGATTTTTTTAACTTTAAGTAATGTATTTATTTTATCTAACTTTAAGCAATGTATTATTTTATCTAAAAACTGCTATTATAAAAATCTTTTAATTTTATGTAATATATTCCTTTATGTTATTTAAAAATAACATAATGACGCATTCATGTACAATGTATCTGTACGTTTTGAATAAAGATTTTATTGATTGATTGATTGATTGATTGATTGATACTAAAGAGAGTGTTTAGGTAGCAACTCCCCTCCATAACAGTCAAATGAGTGTCGCTTATGTACAAGACCTATTCAGAAATATTTAGAGGTAAACAACTGTTATGAGTATAGCTTTATTTCACTTTCAACAAAGGGATCTGAGAGTCTATTTAAGTACCTGTTCAAAAGACTTGAGTCCTGCCTCTTTCCCCCATGTGACCATATCGTCCATGATAAGCTTTTTCACCTCGGCATTCGCACACAAAACCGAGAACGTTCCATCAATATGGTTCTCTAGAGCCCAACTCTTGATGACATCTACGTCCGGCACAACTATGGCGATTATGCAAGACTGAAACAAAGTGTTCAAAATATAAAATATGCAATTTTTATAATATGTGAATCCCACAGTAAAAATGTAAAAATGTCCATCCATGTTATGAAGGGGGTTTCAAATCATAAACTGTAAAATAATGTTTTCAATTTCAATGCATATGCAAATTAGCTTCTTCTCCCATCTATATATATAATACGCTAAGCCGATTTTTGTAAACAGAACTCCTCCCTCATTTTTGGACCAATTTGATGATTAAAGTGTCAAACAAATGGCCCTGATCTGTAGTCCAGCTCTAGCAGTCGAGCTGATAAGACCCTCTCTTATCTTAGCGCACGCACGCGTTGCAAGTTTAAAACTGCTTGCGTTCAAACGCGTTTTCACGTGTTAAATTTTACCTTTTTTTAGCATAATTCATGTGTAAGTGATTATGTCGTGCTGTGGCGTCTGTAACAAATCGTCCGAGGACACATCGAACACAGTGAAATGTGTCTCATGCGGGAGTGTGTACCACGTGGAGTGCCTCAAGAAGCAAGACGGCGAATCTGTGAAACAAAGGTCGTGCAAGGACTGGAAGTGCAAGGAGTGTCGTCAAACAGCATCCAGTGGAGGCTCTGTGTCTTCAACCACGGTAATCACTAAGGAATTTCTCGTTAAACTCCTGGATAATTTTAAAAATGAAATCTCTAAGGACCTGAAAGCAGTCAAAAATGAAACATTGGAGTTAAAAGAATCCGTTCAGCATATGTCTGATTCTATTGATGACATAAATAAACAATTTTCAGAATTTCAGAGAGAATTAAAATTAATTAAGGAAGACAACCAGAAGCTACGGGCAGATAACGGTTCCTTAACTAAAAGAGTCACTGAGTTGGAGGAGAGGGTGCGTAATATGGAGCAGTACAGCAGGAAAAATAATGTGGAGATTAGTGGGATTCCTAAAACAGAGAAAGAAGACGTGAAAACCATCATCATGGAGGTCGGGAAGGCGCTGGGTTTAGAGGTGCAGCCAAGCCACATCGCAGCAGCCCACAGGATCCCATCCTACAACCAGGCACGGGTACCGTCATTGGTGGTGCAGTTCACAGAGAGGACAATGAAAGAGGCTTTCATCGCGAACTTCAAGGAGTCTAGGAAAGGAGGTTCACACCTAACTGCGAATGACATCAGTCGCAGCTTCCCACACGACAAGGTCTACGTCAATGAACATCTCTCGCCTGAAAACAAGTTGTTCTTCAAAAAACTCAAAGAAAAATGCAAGGAACTGAAGTACGCATACGTTTGGAGCAGAGACGGGAAATTTTTCGCTAGAAAAACTGAAGACGGTAAAGCAATAAAAGTGAGTACATATGAAGATATTTACCAGCTTAAATAAGCAGTTCAAATGGCTACTTTCCTAGATGTCATTTTTGTCATTTCACTCAGTTCGTTTTATGAAATTCTATTTATTTTAAGTATTTTTTAAACTGTTTTGTAGATTAGCGAATGTCATTTACAATCTCTAACGAATATGAAACAAGTTTACCACATTTTTATAAAGATATTAGTAACGGAGGTTCATTAAATTTACTGTATGCCAATATTAGATCTTTAAGAAAGAATTTCAATATTTTTTTAGCAGAGGTTAACAGTGTCATAAATAATATTAATTTTATTGTTCTAAGTGAAATTTGGGTCAACGAAAGTGAAATTAGTTTATATAAAATTCCTGGGTTTAATTTATTTGCTTGTTGTAACGACTCTTATAGAGCTGGAGGGGTGTTATGTTATGTAAATGAGAGTATTGATACTACACAACTAAGCTTTAAAATGACCACTGCTGATGTTTTGCTTCTGCGTGTTAGATATAAAAATGTTTATTTCAATGTGTTCTGTTTTTATAGGTTGCATATGCACTCAGAAAATGATTTTGTCAATGAATTTTCCGATACTATTAATAATGTAAAGGGTAATACTATTTTGGTCGGGGATGGAAATATAAACCTATTAAATACTTGTCAGCCATATGTGCAAAACTATTTTAGTCTCTTACAAAATCATGGTTTTATATCTATGATAAAGAGCCCTACGCGCATAACTAATCTGTCGAAAACACTCGTAGACCATATTTTTGTAAGACATCCAAACATAACTATTTTTAAAAGTGTTATTTTTGATATTGGTCTAACAGATCATTGTTTATTGGGGTTGACTTTTGATTTAATGTGTAAAGGTAAAATAATAGATGATTCTAGCTTACTCAAACAAAAAGATAAAATTGATTTTATTTTATTCAAAGAAAAGTTAGAAAATGAAAAATGGGAAGATATTTTGCTTTCAAATGATGTTAATTATTGTTATAATATATTTTATGAAAAACTATGTACTGTGATAAACAAATCTAAGTTAGCTTTTAAGTACAATAAATTTCAAAAATCTAAATCGTTAAGTCCATGGATAAATACTAATTTATACAATAGGATATCGAAAAGAAAGAAGTTGTACTTGTTGTATAGGAAAAGGCCTTTTGATTTACATTTTGGCAAGTATTTTAACGAGTTCTGTGTCAAATTAAGAGAAGATATTGATTTTGCTAAAAACCAATTTTTAGCTAACAAAATTAATAATTGTCATGGGGATTCTTCTCAATATTGGAAGGTTTTAAATAATGTGTTAGGTACAGCTGATAAGAAAAATGTAACTGAAGTTGAATTGGAAAACAAAACAATTTTAAATGATCACAAACAAGTTGCCGAAGAGATTAACAAGTATTTTATCTCTGTCCAATGTCAAGGTCAAAGCTACAACGGGCCTCCCCCTCCCCAGCCACGACCCTTGCATTGTTGTCCTCACTCCTTCTTTGTTGCTCCAACTACCATTCCCGAAGTTTTGGCTACCATAAATGGGTTGAAAAATAAAAAATCAACAGGTTTTGATCAAATATCTGTTCAACTTTTAAAAACTGTCTCTAAAATCCTAGCACCTGTTTTAGTCCACATGATTAATCTTAGTTTTGCATGTGGTACATTTCCAGAAAAACTAAAACAAAGCATCATAGTGCCCATTCATAAAAAAGGCTCGTCAAAAAAATTAGACAATCTCAGACCTATTAGTTTGCTCTCAGTTTTTTCTAAAGTTTTTGAGAAATTAATGAAAGTCAGACTTACAACATTTTTGGATGGTTTAAATTTTTTCAGCAACTCTCAATTTGGTTTTAGGAAAGGAAAGTCGACAGAAGATGCCCTAATTACAGTCACAGATAAAATTTATCAAAGTTTAAATAGCAAAAACAAAGCAACAGGTTTATTTGTTGATTTTAAAAAAGCATTTGATCTAGTTGACCATAATCTTTTATTATCTAAATTAGATGCTGCTGGTGTTAGAGGTGTAGCTAATAATTGGTTTTCTAGTTTTCTCTCAAACAGAATACAGCAAACAAAGATCTTAGACCAACTAAGTTCTCCTCTACATGTCAGGACAGGTGTTCCACAGGGATCAGTTACCTCTGCAACCCTCTTCCTCATATTTATTAATGACCTTCTCAAGCTTCCGTTCCATGGACACGTATGTGCTTTTGCTGACGACATTGCGTTTTTTTATTCCCAAAAAGATATTTTCACTCTTTACGGTTACATCCAAGAAGATCTTCAGCTTTTGAGTGATTGGTGTAAAGCAAATAAAATGCAGGTTAATGTTGATAAGACAAAATACATAAATTTCGGTCTAATAAATAGTTTTAACTTTCCAAACAATCTAGTTTATCATTCTTCAAATTGTAATTTAATTTCATGCATTTGCAAAACAATTGAAAAGGTCAAGCATTTTCGATATCTCGGAGTAGTTTTGGATGAAAATCTAAACTGGGACAGACATATTTCCACACTACATACAACAATTAAACAAACTATAAGAGTTTTCTATTTTATAAAAAACATTTGTAATACCTTCTTACTTCGAACTCTTTATTTTGCTCTTGTCCAATCAAGACTCCAGTATGCAATTCAATGCTGGGGCAGAACTTTTAAAAGTTATATTGAAAAATTAAGGTTTACACAAAATCATTTTTTAAGGATAATAACTAAAAGTAATAAGCGTGAAAGCTCTTTCCCGTTATTTTCTCAATTAATAATACTCCCAGTTCAGCACTTATATATTTTTAAGGTTCTAAAACTCTTCTATGTACGCAGTGGAAATACTGGGACAAGCAATCTTTTGTATAATACTAGACAAAACAATCAAGGCATTTTCCGTTTACCTAAAGTAAACAAGTCATTGTTCAGACACTCTTATCAGTATAATGGTCCCAGATACTTCAACCAACTGCCGGAAGATATCAGATTTTGTTTGACCTTAGATAAATTTTCTTCAAAATTAAAACATTGGCTTTTTAGTCATCCGGACGTATATTTTCTTAATAATATACTAATATGACAATTTACATCAACCACTCAAAGGATTTTTTTTTCTTTTTTTCTTCAAATAAATCCGTTAAGTTTCGCTATTTTTGTAATTTCCAATTTGTTTTCCATTTCACGAAAAGGTAATAAATTTTTAGTTATAACAGTATTTCTGTAAACTTTAGGATTTAATTTTTTAAGCTCTAATTTTATATTGCTATACTTAAGACGCCACAGAGAGCGGCAACTTGTATTTTTCAAGTGAAGAGACTGGACTCACTAAGTTGTAAATATAGTTGTTTAATTTTTTGTTTTACGTTTGCCACGATTACTGGAAAATGTGGCAACGTAGTTCCAAGTGAATTTATTATTTTGTATTTATTTGTTTTGAAGGAATAAACTCATTATTTCATTATTATTATTTCATTATTTCATTATTTCATTATTTCATTATTTCAGTTTTGCAAAGTCTTTTTAGTTTTTTGAAATATTTATTAGTTTGGGCAGGATCTTCCATCAAAGTTGGATTTTCTCCCATAAGATTAACATGGGGGAATCTAAATATTTAATTGGAAACTTTGTCTCCATTAATTTGAGAGAACGACTGGGCGTAGAAACTTGGTAGAGGTGTCCAAAGAAAGGCCTTGGTCTCTAGATGAGTTACCAAAAGAAAAACTAAGTGAATCCCGTTAGGGCTCTGCCCCAGAAGCCCTTAAAGATCCCTCCACAGATTTGTTTACATTTCGTCCATGTGGATAATACTTATTAATGAAACAGCTGTTAATTTTTAAATTGTATTTCAAACAACACATACTGAATTGTCCAAAAGAAGTATTTGCAATGTTATTTTCTGATTTTAAAATTGATTTTCTTCTGTATCATGTCATATTTTGCAATATAACGTTCCATTACGAAATCAGTGGAAAATCATTTTATCACAGTAACTCTTATTTAACAATTATTTCTTATTGAACTATCTTATATCTATTGTACGGGTTGGTGTCTGCCTTTTTCACCACTTTTGGCTATATTTTATCATATTATTTTAGACAGATCATCATAGGTTCGTGAGATTATTGTCATACATGTTTTCAATCATTGGAAAAATCTTCGGTTGTGTAATACAATACAAAATAATACAAGTGCAGAAGTGTCTTTTAGCTTTAACATTAACCCCACAACCGATTTCTCAAAACTATACTAGAGGGTAATTCATTGGCACAGAAGTACGATATCCCCATACAACCAATTTCTTAAAACTATACTAGAGGGTAATTCATTGGCACAGAAGTACGATATGAACTGATGCGACGCGACGAAGGAAAAATCAAACTTACACTGTGACGGATAGACCTCCCTTTTAAGTTAGAACGTGTCTCCTCAACAAGCAGATATTTTCTCTCGAATAAAATCATAGATTAATCTTTATTACACTGATGAAATCGGGGAAGTTTTTAACTAAAAAAGATCCACCATTACGATTTTAATACTATTTAAAGGTTCTTCCAAAGTATGGGAAATATTTTATTCGTTGAATGATCAACCATATTTGGTAACTAACGCAATTAATATCATTATTGTTTTTACACTTATTGATCTTTAAACAATGCTAAATGCTCAAAATATGTATAATTTCACTAAATTTATCGCAGTTAGATGAATTAACGTAAGCCTTGAAAGTAACCGTCGATTTCGACGGGTTTCACCTAGTTTTTATTAGTTAATTGTCATATTGTCACTGTCAGACACAATAATCCTCTTTTGTGAACTGTAAATCCATTTTGTCAATAATTATTTCATTTTAGAATATAGCCTACTTCAAGTCTCAAAATGAACAAAACATTATAAAAAAAATTAAAGAAAACGTGCTAGCATGCCTACAAATTAAGAGAGAAACCCCTGGATGTACCTAGGTAATTGTGTTAAGCTTTATCAAGATGTTCGAAAATGAACCCATGCAATTTTTACTGATCATGTAGGCTACCTTTCAATTAATTCTGACTTAAATAAGTTGGTCACATATCACTCAAATTAGCTTATACTCATAGTTACGGCATACTTGAATCAAAATGTTCCTCACTTGTGTCCTCACCTAAAGAAATGAATACATGAATCACCTGATAACATTGGTTATGATTACTAAATAAGATATCGTACCTATTTTTATTTAATTTTAATTTTAACTAGTTGGAATATGTATGGTTTTGTCGGTTTGAAAAAGTGAATCTAGTTGGACTGCATTAATAACAATGTACGTGTTGTGTTAAATTTATTTCTTACATCTGTTCATACGTATCTACTATTCGTTCTGTGTTACTGCCACAGTATAGTCATAGTTAATATGTTTGTTTTACAGTTGGGTCTACCTTTAAACTCTCCCCATGCACAAAGACCTGATGTACATATTGACTGCGGATGTAGACATTTTCTATCTTCTCTGGAACAATGTATTCTCCTTGTGACAACTTGAAGATATGCTTCTTCCTGTCTATAATTTTTAACACGCCATTCTGAAACACACACGTCAAAATGTTTTTTTTAGTTGATAAATTTATTTTTTGTATAAAAAGATGGAGATTTATGGAGTAAATATTTTTACGCCACATTTAACTGTTTTGACAAACTTTCCACGCAAGGATTTAGTCCAAAAAACAGCTGCTTGCCGACAGCTTAATCAAATGGGGTTTTAGGTTTCATTACGTACTGTAATGAGTTTTACCGGACACCAACCAGCTGATTATATACTGTATTTGGCAATGAGTGAGAGTCGTTAGTTTATAAACAAAAACATAACCTCTCTTAGTGATTAGTCCTTTAGTCGGTGGTAATATATTAGGATTTTTACGGATTTAGGGGTATGGCGTAAAATATATCGTACGTCTCTCATCCAAAATGTGTTTACCGGACTTGTATGGTAACAACCACACTCGTCCGGTAAACACCTATTTCCACGGCTAGTAACGTAAATGTACACTATAACAATAACCTACAAATGAAGATGGAAAATGTTAATTTACTGATGAGTGATGATTGCAATCAGGTGATATTTCATCTAAATTTTATAAAAATGGAACCAAATCAGGTTTGAGCCTTTTCCTATCAAAACAAAATAAGTAGCATCTTTACTTTCATCTTGCAATATCTTAATTTTTTAACTAAGTTATACAATACACAATTAACATATTGCATGATAAAACTTGGAAATGTTCAGCTTATTAAACCCAATTTAATGTTAATAATCTGTGGGTTTTAACCGTCATGTTTGGGAATAAGCTAATTAATGAACAAATAAATGTTGCTTTAATAGTTGTAAGTTACTTATAGAAACTTCTTGCCAGGAACATCCGGTAGCCAATATAGTACCGGTATATAAGTAGGGACGCCATCGAGGTTCTTGTCATTTGCCTATTGGATCTGATGATGATTGATTGGATTGAGTGTCCAATTGAAATTGATCACCACTTTCCATCTTTTATATGTATTTATCGTCTCGTTTCAATAGTATAAGTGTAGTGTAAATATAAATGTTTTAAGTGTTATTAGATGTATTATTTTTATGTACTTTCAGTGGGATTTGGAATGTTGTATCATAGACTAACCAACGCAAATAGACTTCTCATCCCATTGTATAATATGAAGCTTGTTTTTCATGTGTACTTAGTTCATGTTGGTGACACTGGGTGTCGACCAAATTTTGTTTCTATTATTCTAGGGTTAATTTTATAATTGTGCTTTACTGTTTTTTTACATATCCACAGGAGAAGTTATTGTTTATGATTAGATTGTTTTGTTTGGTTAAACAAGGTTTTAAATAACGAGAAATAAATTGCAAACAAAAACACGATACTAGCGGCACCGGATGGAACTATCAATAAAATTGTCTTCAACTGATTCATAAGGATGACAAATCTACCGCGGGAGTATGTTTAAGCTATGTTAGTATTAACCACAATACACTCTGTTTTCATTACCCTTCTACACATGGATTTAGTCCCACCATTGACTATTGGATGCTGAAGTTGTATAAATAGTCAATGGTCCCATCAACTGCAGCTTACCATCTGCTTAAGAGTTCTTTGAGGCTAGCGGACATCTTAGATCATTTCAAACAGCTGGTGAAGAGTTATATATCGTCCAAAAATATTTTTTCTAACACCAAAGTGATTATAATTTAAATATCTAGTAAACTGTATGAGATTACTCTATGGATTTTACGAGTTAGAGCGTGTAGGCTCCAAGGATACTTAATCTATAATCAGCTGGTGTCAGAAAAAATGCTTCAGCTAATTATCAAAAACTATTTATTTGTTTTGTGACAACAAATTCTTAGAATTTTAATTCTCCCTCGTGGACTAACCCTATTTAATTTTATAGTTAGCTAAATTTTAAATTACCGGCAGCCACTGCCCAATGTCACCAGTGTGGTGCCAGCCGAATTCATCAACGGTGGAAGCTGTCATATCCGGCTCCTTGAAGTATCCAAGAAAAACATTAGTTCCACGAACGCAAACTTCCCCTTGGTTGCCGCTGGCGTAGTACTCCATCTCCGGAACGTCCACCAGCTTCACTTGACAACAGGCTACAGGCGGTCCGACGTGTTCAGGTACGTGGTCCCCTGTTGTGAAATGCATGAACATTTTAAAAACTATTTTTACCCTTCTCAGATGGGGGACAGATATATCCGCTTCATTTTTCACATATCACAGATCACACTAACAATGTAATTTGTATGAGCTTGTTTTTTTATAAATCTTGATACAATTTACCTTATAATTTTCTATTTCAAATTAATTCTTGTTACGTAAATTACATAACTATTTTATTGATGATTTATACCCTGTTGTGATATTAAATATAGCAAAAGGTACAGTATACAATTTTTCTGGATATTTACAGACAGATAGCGTATCTGGACCAATTTTTAAATAACCAAGGAAAGCAACCGTCTTTAGTTCTCTAAATCGTCCACAAAATCAAATTTCATCATGCCCACTAGAGTGTTTATTTTTTTAAGATTTTATAATTTTTTCCACCTCCCTTTCAGTAATCGGTTTCAGCTTTAATTCTGGCTTTACCAAAATCAAGTAATAATGATTTTATGTATTTTCCCAGTGGCAAGAACTAGAATTTTGAATTAATTACCTTAAGCCTTTGGTCTTGCAGGATGAAGTCATAACTTCATCCTGCAAGACCAAAGGCTTATCAAGTAATAGTCATTAATAAAATCATCTTTCTCATCTGTCATCACATTTTGATTGTTACATTTTAAAATATAAATCTGTAACTATGTTGCTAAAATAACCAATAAAAATATTTGCAGTTTTGCCAGGGTCTGAAATTGTTTCAGAATTTTGTTTTAAAATTAAAATTGTTTAATGGTTTTTTATCTTTTTCCCAACTTCTAGAGTTGATTATACTCCAGACCGTTTTATGAATGTTTTGGGAGTATTCAATTATTTTTTGGAAACGTCTGTTTTTAGCCTTATTTCATTCCCTTTTATAAACAGTCTTTTCCTGGTTCTTACAACCATATTCCTCCTGTAATAAAGGCTGCAAAAACCTACATCAGCAGAATTTTATGTCATCTAATCATTCTTCATTTGTATCAGACATTTTTCCTAACATACTAAACCAGTCAAAAAATAACTCCTTACACAAAAAAATGATCCTGAAAATATATCCAATTATCCCCCATAGTCTACTTACAATTATCAGAGTTTTTGGGAAAATTTAATATTTTAGATGATAATCAGCATGGATTCCGGAATGGAAGATCAGTTGTGAGCGCAGCTGTTTCTTTTACTGAATCAGTCGACAAAGGAAATTATACAATTTGCATATTTACGGACCTTCTAAAGCATTTGATAGAGTAAAACATATACTATATACACTATATACAGTATAGTATATACACTAGAAAAACATAAATTATTGGAATATCTAAAAGTGCATTTGATTGGGTTTCTTCCTATTTTGACAAATAGGTCTCAATTCGTGGAAATTACCCTTTGAAAAATCATAATAGAACTATCAAATCATCACCAACTTATCAGCGCCAATTAAATTTGGTGTGCCACAAGGTTCAATTTTGGGACCTTTGCTTTTTTTGTGTTACCTCAAGGGCATGGAAGATACATTAACCTACAAGCAAAATTCTAAGTTACGCTGATGATTCTAATTTGATTGTATCATCTAACTCTCCAGAAGAAACCAACATTTTTACATACGTAGAATAAGAGAATTTCGGAAACTATTTCTACAATCATAACTTATTATTAACTTCACAAAAAACTAAATTTATAAATGTTAAAAAATACAGAACAAAATCACAAAAGAACCAACAACAACTTACAACTCAAATAACATTCAAAAGGAAAATCAAATCAACTTTCTGGGTTTAACAATAGATGAAACTTGAATTGGGATATACACACACAGAAAGTTTTAATCAAAATTAACTTCGGAATGTTCACATTATAAAAAATTTCTTTTTATTGTAATTTGAAAACCCTAAAAAGTATATATTTTATCTTCAAGAAGAACTGGTAATACTATTGGAATGAATATAAATTTGAAATAAAAACTTCATCAATATTTTAATAATTTTTAATTTCATGAAATTAAAAAATTCTTAAAATATTAGTGAAGTTTTTAATTTCAAATTTATAGTATATATTTTGCTCACATTCACTCTCATCTTTCATTTGGCTTAGCATTGTATGGGAATGGGTCAACAAAAAAATTAAATATGGATGGAATTCTGAAGCGGCAAAAAGAGGCTATCAGCATGCTCAAGCTTAAACGAGATGATTCGGTAATAGAACATTTTAAGAAATTACAAATTTTTACAGTTTATGAAACAGTATATTTATGAAACAATTCTTGTCACAAAAAAAAAGTTAATCAAAGGAAGTAATAAATTCATTGCATTCTTATAATTTCAGGAGGAGAAGGGAGTTTGTCCAGCCTTACAAGTTAAAATTGTTTTGAAAAAAATCCCTCATACGCTGGTAAAGTTTTTCTAAAATTTGTCCCTGAATTCATAAAAAAAGAAATAGACCCATCAAAATTCAAGAAATTCTAAAAGATTGTACAGTATAATAAATTTACCATTATATTCTTTTGATGAGTTTTCCACCTCCCAGAAATAGAAATAGTATTTTTATTTTAAGTATTTTGACACTATTCACTGTACCACCTATGTACATGAGTTATGATGAATAAAGACGATTGAATATGAATATCAATATTTAAATTTATTTTATATTTCTATACATTTTATTTATTTCAACGATATTATTCAAACCTTGTACTGTAAGAGTGACGGGTGCACAGCATTCTGTTTGTCCATATCCCTCCACTATCTGGAAATATAAAATACATGTAAGGACTTAAATATAATATGTGTCATGAAGTACATGCATTTTAACAAATGTCCTATTTGTTATACACTTTTTTTAATGTGTTACCTTTACATTTTAGGACGCCTAGTATTGTTTTACACATTATTTCAGGCTAAGTCTAGAGGGTGGCATTATCACATGGCATAGCTAACCACCATTGGTGATTGGCGGAATTTGAACCTGGCAACTCGGGCTCCGAAGCCTCACTCTACTATGAGACCAGCTTGCTCCTCATTTCAGTATACATCATTTCATATAGCATAAAAAACATCATGTTCATGATCATTTGTCAAAACCGCTATTTCAGAAACACTCATTTAGAAATCACTTGGTTGACAACTGTGATGATTAAGTCACAAAACTGCAGCGTATGAAACAAAGCCTGATTGACCTAATAAACTAAACCAGTTTAACATTACCTAATTAACCTACCAGACAGCCAAGTGCGCATCGGGCGAACGTAAGTACGTTTCCTGCCAGTGGGGCAGAGCCCACCACCATGAGTCTCAGTCGCCCCCCGGTCGGTTCTTGGATCTTCTTGAATATAAACTTGTCCCAAAAACTGTTGTTACGGATGATACCCCTGGGAAACAGGTATAGTTCTAAAACTTGAAAGTACAGTATTGTTTTGAATAGATACCATTTTAAAGGACTGTTAACTCTTTCAGGCGCAGTGTTACATTTATGTAACGGACTTTTTGACTTCTTTGCTGCACGGTGTTACATCTATGTAACGCGAGACATTTTATTTTCTGTAAACGAGACTACTAGCGCTATGCTGCTGGAAACTTCATATGTTAGTACTATGGACCTCTGCTAGGTGGCAGCACCATCCATTTGTTTACATTCTGACAAATAACTCCTAGAAAACAGCTGTTCCTGGTGAAAGACTCGTTCCCAAGATCCCGTCTTTATTTTTATGCAAATGAAAGATATGTTGTTATTGATTATATAATTCCTATGCTGTTTTGTAATGTACTGTTATAATAGCGTCCCTTGTAATAGTTTAGAGTCATAAAATCAGTAAACTAGAATGTATTTTGAGTGTTCAAAGTGTGTTACTCAAATGTAACACCATGCAGCTCAGCGTTCCAAAAATATCTATCTATAAATAATAAATTAACTATAAAATCTTCCAGAAACTTAATTTTAATTGCGTTTATGCATTTTTATAAATAATATGACATTATAAATAGGTTTTTTCATATTTTTGGCTCGATATTGATAGTTTTTCTTGTGTCATTACAATTTAGGATAAGGTTTGGGCATATTGGAACATTTTTTTATTGAAACCCGCCTTTAAATTTATGTTTATATTACTTAAATATAAATTGGCCTTTATATTACTTTGTTTTGGCTAAGTAACTTTTACATTTTATAATTTTTTTTTAAATTTATCAGTGTGTGAATTTTCTTTTACTACATTTATTCAGGTCTCCATATGATGTTGTAATGCTTTATATTGTATATGTGTAAAATATATACTTTCTTATATTGTAATTTGCATTTATATTTATGATATCCCCAAAGAAACCCCTCTAACTTGATTTTTAATACTTTGGGGATTCAATAAAATATGTTCCATATGCTGCACGGTGTTACATATGTGTAACTCCCTTTTATCACTAAGTGATAACAACAAAAAAATTGTAATTTATTTTTTTTAGGACTTTATATAGTTCTAAACACAAATCATAAAGTATTAACAAACATTTCAACAAAAAATTTTCCGCGCCGGTTGGGGTCACCCAACACCAGTATTTTCCGCGCCGCAAAGAGTTAAAGTAGTGTAAAAAAGGCTATAACAACATAACATAAGAGGGAATTCACTTCGACAAATGACACCTTTAAACTGGATCCAATAGGTTTAAGCTATTCAAATTCATAATTTGATTATTTGAGTCGTGAACTGCTTAATAAATTTGAGAAATTGTTTACTAAAGGTATATATTTTGAAGCTACAGTAATTACTAGTGGTGCAGTAACTGCTTGTTGTAAGTAATAGTAACTAGTAACACTGCTGCAGTATTTGTGCCCATAATACTGCCCATACACTGGACTGGAACCCTTTAAGCACTACCACAGGGAGTAGTTTATCATTACAACATTCTAAGAAGTTGAGTGATACCTCTATGAAGGTTGATACAAAATTGACTTAGAACATTGTAGTGTAGTATTCCTAGATTCAAGATGAAGCACAATAATTGATTGAATGTAGGCTATTATAAAATATAAATTGTCTAAATAATAACTATAGTACGTGTTATACTATATTGCGCTAGTAAGCTAGAAATTTTGTTCAAGTTTCATCAAGCTGAAACGATAACTTGTTGTTTTATAAAGAAGGCTAATTAGAGTAGGTGTGGGTATTGGAGCTGGGGGTCAGTTTGATGTGTTGGTGGATTGGGTCCCATTAAGTCATCGGCAAAGTCCAAGGTCATTAACCTTGGATCCAGGAAAGTTGTTGAGGTTTATTCACATTATAGAAGAATGTAATTGTCTAAGGCAACAAGTAAATACCTCTCTATTTCACTTTTCTTGGCGCTGAGAGCCATGTTGAAGAGGAGTTTCTTGACAAAGGACGGCTGGACCTCAGCCATCGCCTTGTCGTAGATCCTATTAAGGAGACGAGGCACCGCTGGCATCACGGTCGGCCTCAGAGCCCTCATATCCTCAGACAAATTGCGGATGTCCCCAGAGTAGAAGCCCACGGCTCCACCAACCATGTACATGCCGTTCTGTTAAAATCACAAGATACAAAATGTTACAAAATGGTGTACAAGATGTTACAAACCTAACATCTTAATTACTTCTAGTGCCTGGCCGTATAAATGAATAAATTATCTACTGTGTGTAAAATTTTACTATTTATAGTGAAAGTAGACACTTCATTCTCATTTTGAAGATTTCATTAAACATGTATACACCTATAGCTATGAATACTGACCACAAAGTTTCAGAATTCATTAAAAAAATATTTATACACTAGCTGTTTTCCTGCTCTTTGCTCGAGTAGACTTGTGAATAAATAGTAGTAAATAAATTGATCAACTACTGTGAAACATATATAGCTGCTGTTAAAATTGGGAATACAGTAATAGCCAAGCAGAGTGACTACAAAGTTTCAGTTTGGTTTCTTTTTGATTCTAACATAGTCTATAGATTTACTGACACTGTTTTAATTAATTTTGGAAATAGCCACATTGTCTCCTTATATCCCTGAGTGTCCAGTAACCCAACAGAGGGGTGAACATTTTTAGGGAACATACTGCTGTAAGGCAGTCCCAGACCACCTTAGACTTGAACTCCCAGGAGTGCCTTGAGCGATGCTTGGCTGTCTGTGAAAATGGAAATGTTTATGTCCCTGAAGCCCAGCCACAGGCTCTCCCTGGAACACTGCATTATTGCAGTTATCTCTGCCTGGAATACAGTCGGGTGTGTTCCCATAGGAAGATATAAGTCCACCCCATTCTGCACTCCATGAATTCCAGCCCCTGTCCCACTTCTTACCTTTGAACCATCAGCTGAGTGGTTATAATCCTAAGCGGGGTTGATTATGGTTTTACTTTACAACCTCCACTTTCCCAATCGATCCGTACTTACCTCACAACAGCGTTCCAGCATGTGTGCAAGAGGTAGGAAAGAGATCATGACATCGTCAACAGTAGGTTTGTGGTCTCCGAGTTGTAGGATGACCGCGCAGACGCCCGCCACTACGTTTTGATGGGTGAGCATGACTCCCTTGGGGTTACCTGTTGTACCAGACGTGTAACAGATAGTACAAAGGTCTTTTGGCTGAGGAGGCTGCAGACAAACAGGAACAGTTGATGAGTAATGAGCATCAGGATGGTAATATATCAGGCATCATATCAAAGTGTCGCAGGGGTGTATAAGGTTCTACCTGCGAGTAAATCACATTTGTCACACCTTGCTCAATGTGACAGTAAAATGTAGAAATTAAACTAATAATTTTAAAACGTTAATAATTAGGTATCTAAAATAAAGCAAGATATTGTATTCTATGTCATAATAAGGGGGACAATATAGTTAACTTGTTATCTAGGAATACTGTATACCTAAGTTATCGTAGGACAAACAGTTGCGTGTTTGTCCCATGTTAATCAGCTCACTTCAATTGTTGAAACTAACTGCATATATCTCCAACTCCAACAATCCATGGATCTCACAAGCCGTCCAACTCAAAGTGTAGGCCAATTTCCATGGAACATTTTTTTTCTTAGATATCAAAGTCATTTAATTTTCAAATCATTCATTATGTTTCCACTTTAAGTGGTTTATTCAGTGAGACGTGACTAACAGGATATACTTGGCCTTGGCCAGCTATGTCCTATTCTTCCCCTCCAGCCAAGTAACCTGCCTCAACTTATCCTGAGACAGGGTTTATAGTAAACAAGTTTGAATTTAGTCATTGTGAAATTGATAAAGGTTGATAGAATGTTTACTTTTTTATTCAAACAATTAATTACATTCGTTAGGTTTTAAATATTATTTGTTTTTTTTAATTGTATTTTTAGATGAAGAAGCTGCTTGGACGCAAGACTATAGACACTTTGTATGTGGAAGGTTTTTTTTTTAAACCAGATCACATAGGAACTCTGGAAAATTTTATTGTGATATTCTTTTATCCTTTGTCGACAAAAAAACTAAATATTTCAACATTTTTACAGTGAAAGAAAGTTTGAACAGTAAGAAAGGTTCAACTAATCGGTACCGAAGATGCCTCAAACTCATTCACAATTTTACCTTTATATCAAAAAACCATTTAATACAAAATACAACAATGTCTTACAACTTCTGGATGGTTCTTGATGGCACCATTCTTCTCAACATCGTCAAACCTAACAATGTCAATTCCTCGGTTCTTTGCTCTTTGATTGGTCGCCAGCCTGGTCTCGTGGATTACTATCAACTTCCTTAAACACCGAGGCGCTCTATCCAGCAATAAGTTGCACTTTGCATCATTTTCACAAACAACCACTGAAATCTCAGCTGAAACAGGGAAAACTAGATTACATCCATTGAATCAAACCAAAATTAGGATTTTTGATATAATACCATGTAGTGGCTGAGTTAAATTAAAAAAAGACCATAGCAATGTATGACTGCCTTGATAGTTTGGATAGTAGTGTATATAGTTTGGATAACATGAGATTATTTGATTGAAAACTTTGAGATAAAAATTCTGTTTTCTTACATCATCATGGTGATTGTAAGTATATGGTATATGGTATATGGATGATCATCAAACATCCTACTAAAAAGGTAGTTATGTTTTTTAACGTTTAATTTTGTGAAAATTCCCTACTATACCGAGAAATTATTCTAAAAAATTAGCAGATAATTTTTTTGCACAGTGCAGCCCAACAATTTTTTTTTTTTTTTAAGTGGAATGGTTTACTTGCTAATGATCTGAATAGTTATTACATTGACCCTTTGACTGTAATAGTCAATGATTGAATCTAAAAATATTAATCAATCAAAATTAATGTCACTTACCTTGGTTGATGATGAAGGCACATGCGTCGGGTCCGAGTGTGTCGTAGAGGGGAACTATCACCATGGAGTAACAATACGCTCCTTGCTCCACTAGCACCCACTCCGGGCAGTTCTGACTGCAAGCATCAACTATCAATCAATCAACCAATCATTGATGAGTATTGAATTCATATCCTCCACTACAAACATGAGTTAATATTTTGAACTATTGCATATCAACATTCATTTACCAGACATTATAAGAGACGAAACCTTTACCAAATATTAAAAGAAATCAATGAAAAATCAAGATTGCATGTGACTTGCTGGAATCTAGGTTAGCTGGAACTACTCCAATGGTGTGTTCACTCATAGCATCATTCTGATTTGCTTTTCTCTGGTTAATGGCTGATACTAATGCTGTTATATATTGGAAGTATGCAATATATTGGAGTGACTGGTTCTGTCCAGACAATCTAGTAAAAATCAGTCTCCAGATATTACAAACATCTGTCGTATGATTTGACTCCACTAATCATAATCCGACTGGGATATTTAGTTTGTGTTAAGTTTGAAGTCTTTGATTTTTCTGTTTCTATTGAGATAACTTATTCTAAGTTGAAAAGTTGGTGGTCTCTAATGAACCATCTAATATTGATTTTAAACAAGTATCCCCTAGGTTTTTCGGCACTTTGGTATCATACGGAGATTACATATTTTAGTTGGGTTATCATAAATATGTTTGCAGGAATTTCCTCGTTTCGTTATGAATCGAACGATACCAGATGAGTCATACTTGCTATTTATGATAACCCAACACATAACAGCCGCAGCGCGCTGTAAAATATGTGGCTGTATAATACCAAAGTACCTGTTTTACATTATTGTACCACCTAAAATCTGATATAAAAAAGTGTCAATTTCTTCAGTAACCTGATGTGTTTAGATGTTCACCGATGATAACAGTTCAGACACCTGTATTGGCTCAGTGCTGGGTAGCTAAGTGGTTAGAGTAGAATAATACTGCTCGGATGGCAAATTAAAAGATCACCAGTTTGATTCTGAGAAAATGCATGTAGTCTTTTGATATTTCAAAAATTAGCTCAGAAGTACTCGATCATTGGGATTTCAATAAACAGTCTGTTTTAAGAAACAACTGATCTTAGTCATTAACGAATATACACAGAATTTCTCACTCCATTCTCCAATCTTCATTAATGCCAAGCTTAAAATATACACCAAGGTGTGCCACAGTCATAAAAGCAATGAACAATGAAGGTGTGTTCCACTCTTACCTGTATATCCCAATGTATGTTGAAGCGGATGGTGCGAGACCAAGTGACACGAGTCCCGAGCCGAAGTTGCGGGCTCGCAGTAACGTCTCGTTGTAATGCAGCCATTGGTACGGCTTTGATGGTCCTTCGTGCCACCCTAGGCATTTGCCGTTATCTGCAATAAACAGATTGTCAATAAAAATATTTAAAACCATCATCAGATTAGGTAAATCTAAGACAATTTGTTTTGATTACCTTTTAACTGTCATTGCATAAATACATTAAAAGTTTTATAAAAACTGTCAAATAGTCTTGCATTTGTCTTACCAAACAGTTTGAACCGTGGAAAATTCATTTTCAATCAAAAATAGAATCCACATAAAAGTGCACAATTTATTGTCGGGGACAAATTAAATTGGTTGTTTTTTTTTCACAAAAACAAGGTATTTTTAGGCACTGTATTCTAAATCTGCCTTATAAACTAACTTATTCTATAGTCTATAGACTCCAACACTATAGAACTGAATGATTGTTTATTAATAGTATTCAATTAATTACTTTATTTGTTAGCATACAAGATTTCATTACAAAATGATCTTTTATTTACAGTATTATAGCCTATCAGTTTAAATACTGATGAATTAGCTCACACTTTGTATTTTAAATTTTAAAGTTGAACTACAAAACCAGAAGAAAAAGAGGGTGGGTTAATTTTAGCAGGTATCTTTTGGCATGTGAGACGGTAGAAGAAAAATATAAGATTGAGGTGGAGGTGGGGAGTTGCAGACGACTGGCAACAGTTGGCAATAATCACGATTGCCAACCGTATAAACTTGGGCCTAATTAGATCGTTACTTCAGTTATTGTAGGCGTATCTGTGGAACAGACCAGCTGTTGAAATCAACAGACATCAAATTTGAACACTCCTCTTCAAATGTATGTGAAAGAATGGGACTAATTTAATCGAAAGCATATAGAACAAGTCATAGAATTTGTCAATATACACCAAAGATCAACTCATCAAATGTTAAAATCTGCAAGGGATGCTTGCTTAGAAACTCAATTGTAAATAAAATTAACTCAGAACCCTTTTAAAATCGATCAACCAGTTCTTGACTTCTTGGAATTGTAAAGCAGGAATGAAAATCTAATGGAAACTAGGTTACCCTAATGATGCCTTTCTTCTCATAGACAACTTAAGTTTACATCATTTAATTTGGTAAAGAGCACTTAGATTCATTAAACAATTAAAAATTGTTTGTACTGTATTTGATTTTTAAGTGTTTACATAGCATTGCAATATTTAAAGTAAAATCAATTAAAATAACCGCAATACATGGTCAGTGAAGGGAAAGTAATTTCCACTTCATAATTAATTCTATTTCAGGAGAGAAGTGGCCTGGTTATGGATTTATTGATGAATGGTTCTCCTTTGAAGTGAGTGATGGCAGAAATTGACCTACTTTATAAAATGTGATTGATAAAAGTAAGGATTAAACCTTTTGAAGCTATCTGAACCTTGGCCAACTACTAACTGCTACGGTGCATATATAATGTGACAGATATGGTATGGTATAGTATAGTATACAACATGAAAATAGTTCAAATAGATCCTTAACACATTAAATAATCCAAATAAAATCAGAGTTGTTTTAACGATCTTTGCATTAATTACAAAAATATTGGATATTTTATAATAACAACAATTCCACCAATTAATTATTATCCTTTTATCGATTCCATAGAAATATGGGTAGAAATATTTTGTTAAAACACAGGTGTTAAAGATACAATAGTATCAATAAGTTTCAGTATATTTATTGAACAACCACCACTTGTCATGGTGGAAGGAAAAAAACATAGGTGTGCTATTCCCGTCATATTCTGACGCCACTCGGATTGAAAACAAAAGATCACCTGATTGTAACTGTCAAATTAGTATGTATTTGTTTTGATTTGATTGTTATTGTTTTTTTATAACAACACACATTATAAAAACAATAACAACCAAATCAAAACAAATACATATACTAATTTGACAGTTACAATCAGGTGATCTTTTGTTTGCAATCCGAGTGACGTCAGAATATGACGGGAATAGCACACTTATGTTTTTCCCTTTCCTTCCACCATGACCACTTGTAATACTTATTATTAACACATTCACACTACCAAGTGTCAGTAGACAATACATACAGATGACTTAGATGGCTGGTATTGGACCTGTTCAAGTTTCCATGAGTGGTATTTAAATACCACGAATACTTGAACAGAACCAGCATGGATCATAAACATAAAAAATTACGTTGCTGGCCCAAATCTTAAACTAATTGAGCGGAGCGAGCGAAGCGAGCGAAGCTCTTATACGTCGACTCTTATACATTTCGTAATACGCAAACTCCTCCTAGACGGCTGAATCAATCGTTTTCAAATTTTGCATGGTGATAAAGACCATATCGGTGAGTGCCAACATCTATATGGCGTTAAAAAAGTCTCTCAGGAATCCGCCCCACTGGGTCTCAAAGTTTCAATGTAATCCTTATGGAAGCAGTATTTGACACATAAACAAAGACATATGATCAGCTGTTGACTTTTGAATGCAGTAGATAAAGAAAAAGCTGATAGCATTATTCCACAGATATTAGAACAGAAACGGTATGTATCATAAATATAATCAAATGACGACACTAGCTTGAGATCCGTGACGTAGGAAGTGGTTAAGGAAGTAGTAAAGGTGAGCAGTCTGGAGTGTGGAAACTGTTTATGACGATTAGATTTAGGTATCTGCATTCCAAAAATTCTATGGGAAGGGAGGAAAACGGGTCCGCGACGTTGGAGGTGGTGAAGGAAGTAGTCAAGGCGAGCTGTCCGGAGTGTGGGAACTGTTTATGACGATTAGATTAAGGTATCTGCAATCCTAAAATGCTATTGGAAGGGAAGGAAACAGGTCCGCGACGTAGAAAGTGGTGAAGGTAGTAGTAAAGGCAAGCAGTCCGGACTGTGGGAACTGTTTGTGACAATTAGATTAAAGTATTTGCAATCCTATGATGCTATGGGAAGGGAGGGAAACAGGCCCATGACGTAGGAAGTGGTGAAGGAAGTAGTCAAGGCGAGCTGTTCGGGGTATGGGATCTGTTTATGACCTTTAGATTAAGGTATTTGCAATCCTATGATGCTATGAGAAGGGAGGGAAACAGGACCGTGACGTAGGAAGTGGTGAAGGAAGTAGTAATGGCAAGCAGTCAGGACTGTGGGAACTTGTTATGGCAATTAGATTAAGTTATCTGCATTCCTAAAATTCTATGGGAAGGGAGGAAAACTGGTCCGCGATGTAGGAAGTGGTGAAGGAAGTTGTCAAGGTGAGCTGTTCGGGGTATGGGATCTGTTTATGACCATTAGATTAAGGTATTTGCAATCCTATGATGCTATGGGAAGGGAGGGAAACAGGTCCGCGACGTAGGAAGTGGTGAAGGAAGTTGTCAAGGCGAGCTGTCCGGAGTGTGGAAACTGTGTATGACGATTAGATTAAGGTATCTACAATCCTAAAATGCTATGGTAAGGGAGGAAAACAGGTCCGCGATGTAGGAAGTGGTGAAAGAATTAGTCAAGGCGAGCTGTCCGGAGTGTGGAAACTGTTTATGACAATTGGATTAAGTTATCTGCATTCCTAAAATTCTATGAGAAGGGAGGAAAACGGATCCGCGATGTAGGAAGTGGTGAAGGAAGTAGTCAAGGCGAGCTGTCCGGAGTTTGGGAACTGTTTATGACGATTAGATTAAGGTATCTGCAATTCTAAAAATGCTATTGGAAGGGAAGGAAACAGGTCCGCGACGTAGGAAGTGGTGAAGGAAGTAGTCAAGGCGAGCTGTCCGGAGTGTGGGAACTGTTTATGACGATTAGATTAAGGTATCTACTATCCTAAAATGCTATGGGAAGGAAGGAAACAGGTCCGCGACGTTGGAAGTTGTGAAGGAAGTAGTAAAGGCGAGCTGTCCGGAGTGTGGGAACTGTTTATGACGATTAGATTAAGGTATCTGCAATTCTAAAATGCTTTTTGAAGGGAAGGAAACAGGTCCGAGAGGTAGGAAGTGATGAAGGAAGTAGTCAATGCGAGCTGTCCAGAGTGTGGGAACTGTTTATGACGATTAGATTAAGGTATCTACAATCTTAAAATTCCATCAGAAGAGAGGGAAACAGGTCCGCGACGTAAGAAGTGGTGAAGGAAGTAGTAAAGGGTAGCAGTGCAGAGTGTGGGGAATGTTTGTGGTACTGTAATTTGATTAACGTATCTAAAATACTAAAATGCTATGGAAAGTGATGAAAACTGTTTTACGATGTAGGAAGTGAATTAGGAAGCAGTAAAGTATTAGCATAGTGTGAGAACCGTCTGTGGCAGTTAGATTAATGTATCTTTTATCCTAAAATGCTATGAGAAGGGAAGGAAACAGGCCCCACGACGTAAGAAGTGGTAAAGGAAGTAGTAAACGCTGGCAGTGCAGAGTGGGGGAACTGTTTGGGCAGTTAGATAAATCTAACTTATACTTAAATGCTATGAGAAGGGAAGGAAACAGGTCTATGACGTAGTTAATGGTGAAGGAAGTAGTAAGGCTTGCAGTGCAGAGTGTGGGAACTGTCTTTGGCAATTACATTAATGTATTTGCAATCCTAAAATGCTACGGGAAGAGAGGGAAACAGGCCCACGACGTAGGGGGTGGTGAAGGAAGTAGAAAAGGTGATCAGTGTTGAGTGTGGGAATGGATTACACTATCTGCAATGCTAAAATGCTATGGGAAGAGACTGTAGACTTTAGGTTAAAATGATTACGAAGCAAGCATCGATAGATATTTCGATACATGCAATCGTTTACAATAGAAATTTACAACTGAGTTGACAACAGCTGATTTTTACTCCATAGAGGCTAAAAACGATTGTTACTCCCTAAAGAGTAAAAATGCTACTTTGGACCCGCAACGCATGACAAAAACAATATACTATGAACGCTTGATGACTCCGCTCAATTTTGTGGATTCCTCTGCGAACGCCACCTAGTAGCATTAACATATGATTTTGACAATTCTATTAAAGCAATGTTAAATTATATTTATTTTCAGGCCAGTTACAACATTTGTTTATGTTTACGATCCATACCAGTTGTGATCAAATGTTAAATACCTTGTCACAGCAAAGAATAGACTTCAAGAATTACTTATTTTATCCTAGCTTATCATTACAAATAAAATTTTACTTCAATGCAAGACAAAATAAAATACCCCTGCCGCAGCAAACCTGCAGACTTAGTGAATTTCCATTTGCCTGATTGGATTTACACTAACATGTCTCCTTAAAAATATCACATTTATTCCCTATTTAAACAGAACTAGGCGAACCTGTGCAAATTCACACGAATAATAAATTAGGATATTATAGCAACGTCGTTAGAAGTTGCGTCGTTGTATATACGTTGGCCTTGAGCTCGATCGTTGACTATATGCATTTTAAGTTTTTTTTGCTGTTCAGTAGGGGTATTATGCAGGACGGAGCTCATCATGTTGAAAACTTGCGCGTATGGATTAATATCAAGTTGAGTCAGTGCTGCAAGAGCCATTAGCTTTGTTTAGCATTCTTTCTTGAACAGCGGTTTCGACGTCCGTAGGTATAAATTTGGGCATATGTGGGATGCTCCCCTTCTGACGGTTGAAAGGTGACAATTGGGTGATAAACTGTGTGTTGCACCTTATACATGAAAGGCCCTCCACCGTTATGTTCTTCAATTTTAGCTTGAGTGCTGACCATTTGCGAGCGCAGAGTTGTACGATCTAATGTTCTCTTTGTAGTTTCTACTCAAATGATTTGCTCCATTAAGTAGGCTCTTAATATAATAGATTTCTTGGTATGGTGGTAGATTCACTTTTCCTTTATGGCAGCAGGATGAAAATCCTTTGCCTCGTCCTCTTTGTTCTTCTTTAAAATGTAGCGCACCACATTTCTGACATTTTAATGCCATCTCGCCAAGTGAATGCTGCTGAATTCTTGTTCTTGTCAGTGTAATTTTGTAAATACACGTTGCCACTAACTGTTCCAGCTCTTCGTCTGGGCTCCTACGTTTTGCATTGCTTGCCGTATGTTGACTCGCCGTGTCCGACCGGCAATATTTCTTTGTCGTCGGGTCCTTGGCATGTTAAAACGAAAATATAATGTAAAACTTTTCTCCCGCCGTGTCCTATAGGAAACATTTCTTTGCAGGGTTTCTAATTATTTTTAAAAACATGCAAACTGTTAACATTTCAAATCCAAACAAAACAGCTGGGATTTAACTTTTTTTAAACTAATGTATTGACATCTGTTTCAGAATATAATAACATTCAAATCAATCACAATGTCAGTTATCCTTATGGAAGGAACTTTGAGGGCAGCCCACATCCTTAAAAATATATATTTCGAAAATCTAAAGCCAGTTTGCACATCTACACACCTAGACGAACATTTTGGTATATAATATGTGGGGTTAAATCTTAAAATAAAAAAGCCTTATTGTTCACAAAGTTTCATGTCACGTATTAAATATATAGATAGATTAGTTTAACGAGTACTTAGGTTTGCTGCAACAGAGAGGGTAAAAAAGTTTTTTTTTTATGTAAAATGTTAAAAGGTACTGTAGTTTAGTAAGAAAATAACGTATTTTCCAATTTTGATCAAAATGTGTTCAAAAACAAGCAAACTACAACAGTTGACTTATTCTCCATAAAAATAACATGGAATTTTAAAATTGCAATTTTTTTGAATTTTCTCTGTAACAATTAGGCGCATAATAACGCTTCAATATATTAAATTATTTTTTTTTTTAAGCTCCACAAAATAGTTTAAAAAGAATTTGTGAAATTTTGTGTTTTTAGGGACAAAAATGGGAAAACCCTTTTTTTACCCCATAAAACCCCCCATAAACCCCCGTTCCCATAGTCCGATCATGCTGGTTCGCGAACTCATTCAAGTTTATCCCGCCTTACACCTTCAAACGAAATTGTATAAAAATCGGACAAAAATTACTCAAGTTATAGATGGACACATGCATACATAAAAATTTGAACGAATTGTGTTTTTGGCCTCTGGGGACATAAAAATGAAAAAGTAAATCGGTCCCGGGCCTAGGTCTTACCATGAGACCTACGGTAATAGCTACTTCCCTATAGGGAAATTCGCTAAAATGCTTGTGCAATAGACTTTTTTGGATAATTTAAATCACTATTCTTAACTCGTGACATTTGTTTTTGCCAAATGACTTCCAGATTGAAATAATATAGAAACAAAATAGCTATTTCATTGCTAGCCGGTCATTCTAATACTCCCCAACCCCAACCGATCAATTTTACCTGCTCCCTTTTCGACAGTCTATAAAAACCATATACAAATATCCTAGATAGTGATTGGTGCACAAATGTATAGTTTGAGGTTTTCTAGAGTTTCAAGTGACCTTACTTGATTCTTTGGCTCCTTTTCTGAATGTATCGTAGAGAGTTCTGGCATCAGGACTGAGAAAGGATACAAACTTTCCGTCCTTTGACTCTTTGTAGAATTTGGAAACTCGCACAATCTCTGGCCCCTGGACAAAAAGAATGGTTATAACAGTTATATGTTACAAAAAATGCCATGTTTATTTTTTAATTTCACTTTTCAATTTTTTGCTCTTAAACTCTAGTTGAATTCGTTACACTCTACAGTAGGAAGGGATAAATTAGAGGAAACTTTAGACTTGGATTAAAGATTTTAATTTACTTACAAAGATGGGACACTGAAACCAACAACTATATATTTACAACATTGGAACAATCACTATTAGCAAAGATTACATATGCTAACACAAAATTGCGTTAGCATATATGTAATCTTTGCTATTAGTATTAATATTATTTAACAGATGAAAATACCATCTGTTCCAAATTCAAATACATTTAAACAATATTTTTATGGACATTAAAATTAATTGATCTTCAACAGAATTAGGGGGCCAATCTATAAAAATTACACATTCTCATAAAAAAACTACCTCAAGCAGGGTTTTCCTAGACGCGGAAGAGGAGTGCGTAGGGCAGAGAGTGAAGGAGGGCGGAAAAGCGATTAACATGGTGTTCCACACCTCTTCTAGCAAAACAGTAACATTAAATTACCTAAGACAACAGAAGTCCGCTTTTTATTTTCCTCTCTCCATGCTTTGGTTCCAAGCCTAGGAAAACCCAGCTTAACTAATCAGCTAATGTAATTGAAAGGAATGTACAGTAGGATCATTTTAGCTAGAGATAACGCTGCAGAAACCTTGCAGCAGCCTATTGAGGACTACTATTTGTAATCAATGGATAGTATTATACAAGTGTGTGAATTTTGAGCTCTTTGCAAATTATTTTACTCACCCTTTATTCACCTTTAGCTTAAAACCGAGTTTGGGAGTTTGTTGATGATTATTAAGTGATTTACTGCCTCACATTCACATTTCATTCAGATGACACAACAAGCAGTAAATGTGAAGGTTGTGTAAGTATTAGAGAACAGGTGTTGATATCAGGGAGTCTGACCTTGGACCAGAATATCACGACCGCGCCATGTGTCACCGCGACGCCTCACCTGTATCTACCGGAGACACGGTTGGCGCTTCCCACACTCCGGGTGACAGATGATTGCTGAATTTGGAAAAGTGAGATTAGCAGCATCCTTACACCTTTGTTATGATCAAAACAAAATCACTAAGATCTTCCGAGATCGCAGCAACATTTACACAATTTTTTACTTGACACAGTTGTTGAGAAGCTGCTTGCCTGATGTTCAACGCAGGTAAGTGTGGACTTCGAAACGCCGTTAATGAGTGGAAACCTCAATTGAAGGCTATATTGACGCCAATGATTTAAAAAATGTAAGTTTCCCAGTCCTGTACTACACTGATTCACAGGCTTTTCCCGGATATCAAAACTCACATACAGCTTGATACACACAGAATATCTGCAAAAATATGTTAAAACAATATATAGCCTAGCATGTATGGTATATAATAGTAAAGGGAGCCTCCACATGTAACAGTAAACCCTATAGGTAGTTTTTGTATCTTTGCGTGTATTAAAAAAACCAAAAATACGCATATCAATGCTGATGAAAAGGAATTTCGTGATTGGTTTCGATAACTGGGTAATGGAACCCTAACCAGTCGCAAAGGAGTTAGGAATCCGCCGATGATGAGGTATATTTTGTTCGATAGAATATGTAAAGTCAATCGCCCCTTTAAGATGAATACCACCACACAAACTTCACTAATTGTAGTTTTTAGCGAATTTCCCAGGGAATAAGCTATTACCGTAGGTCTCATGGTAAGACCTGGACTCGGGACCGATTTACTTTTTCATTTTGATGTCCCCAGAGGCCAAAAACACCATCCGTTCAAATTCATATCTAATATATAAAATTCTCGTGTCACAGTGTTTGTCTGCAAACTCCTCTGGAACGACTTCACCGATCGTTATGAAATTTGGTGTGTAAATTCTGTAGGTATGCGAATCGGACGTAAACTATTTCCCGTTTCGAAATTCTTAAAAGGGCTCCGCCCCAGTGGCTCTAGAGTTTCCCATGTTAACCTTATGAGAAATGGAATTAATGAATCTTAACAGCTGTTTCAATTAAACAAGTTGGTTCTGTTCTATGATGTAAAAAAAAAGTTACCATTAAAGTTACAAGGATTACCAACAGGGTGCAGCACTATTATTTCTTTTACATTTATGACAACAGCTAATTTGCAACCAAAAGGTGAGTGAGCGTAGCGAACGAACTTCAACCTGGAGGCGAGTTAGCGTAGCGAACGAGCTAACCTGAAGGCAAGTGAGCGCAGCGAACGAGCTCCAACCTAAAGGTGAGTGAGCGTAGCGAACGAGCTCCAACCCAAAGGTGAGTGAGCGTAGCGAACGAACTTCAACCTGGAGGCGAGTTAGCGTAGCGAACGAGCTAACCTGAAGGCAAGTGAGCGCAGCGAACGAGCTCCAACCTAAAGGTGAGTGAGCGTAGCGAACGAGCTCCAACCCAAAGGTGAGTGAGCGTAGCGAACGAACTTCAACCTGGAGGCGAGTTAGCGTAGCGAACGAGCTAACCTGAAGGCAAGTGAGCGCAGAGAACGAGCTCCAACCTAAAGGTGAGTGAGCGTAGCGAACGAGCTCCAACCCAAAGGTGAGTGAGCGTAGCGAACGAACTTCAACCAGGACGTGATAGAGCGATGCGAACGAGATCATCTTTGAAAATTAAACGTAACGGTACTTTCTTTCCATCGGTCTGTCTTAGGGGAAACCTATAACTTAGGCGATACGAAGTTCGCCGGGTCAGCTAGTATCTATATATATATATGTGTGTGTGTGTCCGTCAGCACGATAACTTGAACAAAAATTATCTGATTTTGATTAAATTTTGTATAAACGTGTAAACCTACATTTATTTGAACGAGTTCGCAAACCAGCATGATCGGACCATGGTAACAGGGGTTTATGGGGGGCTTTATGGGATAAAAATGGGGTTTTCCCATTTTTGACCCTAAAAACATAAAATTTTGGATGTAGAGCTTAAAAAAAGAAATAATTTAGTATATTGAAGCATTGTTGTATGCTTAATGGTAACGGAGAAAATTCAAAAAAGTGCAAATTTAAAATTCCCTTGTTATTCTTATGGAGAAAATGAAAACTGTTGTGGTTTACTTGTTTATGGATATATATTAATAAAATTTGGCAAATTTATTTATTTCATCCTATACTATATACTATTGACTTATGGTTGAAAAACGCTGGGAAGACACCATTAAAATTCTAGACGATTCAGCTCAGTAGTAATTATAAACCCCTAAAAATACATTTTAAAATTTATACCATAAGAATAACATTAACATTAGAAGCTACCTTCTTTTTCTTTTCATTTGTTTACATTTTGCGACCAACAATTTTGTTGTCTACTTAAGACAGAGAGAACGACTTTTCCTCTAAGCTCTTTCATTCATGGAGTAAAGAGTTTGACGTCTATCAATATATGACATTATAATTTCACAACTTTCAGAATAATAAATTGAACTTTACAATACTAGTCGGCAGCTATATACAATTTATGTTCAGTATACAAATTCACCTTTACATTACAAATATATATGTATATTTTTAGTACTCAGCAGATTTTTACTTAATTAAATTTAATGTTGGTATTGACTATTAAATAGTCAAAGATGTTAGTCTATTTTTATACTAAAATGCTATGCGAAGGGAGGGAAACAGGTCCACGACTAGGATGTAGTGAAGGTAGTAGTCAAAGCGAGCAGTCCAGAGAGTGGTATCCCTTTGTTACAGTTAGATTTATGTATCTGCAATACTTAAATGCCATGGGAAGGGAGGGAAACAGGTCCGTATTAATGAAGTCGGGAAACATTTGTATAAAGTACTAAAAAATAAGGTCGGCTTCTAAAATATGATAAAATATTTTTACAATAAGTGTTCATTATTTCAACCCGTTATTAATAGAGTGACTAGGCTATTAGAATTAGTTACATAAGCTTTAAGTCTTTTAAACTTATCAAAATCGAAAATTATGACTGTTATTATAGCCCAGTCAATGAATGCAATAAAACACCCTTTTTCGCAACTAAATGGTGGAAAGCTGGATTTTTTATATGTGATAGAACCACATGAGAGGTGTATTTTCCCAAAAGTCCCCACTTCTACCCCTTGAGCTTTCCCCCCCCCCCACCCCCTCCAAACATAGAAATTGCAGTGTTTTACTTAATTGATCATAATTCGAATGCTATGTAAGCTATCGAGCTGCAATTTGTTTTTTTTTATTTCTGATTAGTTTTCCTACAACTTTTGTATTTATAATATTTTTCTAAAACAAATACTTAGGGAGATATAAAATTCTTATAGGTTGCGTGCAGAAACAAGAAGTTTATTCATTATTTCGGTTAATGAGGTTTAGAGGTACTACCGTTACTAATACTAGGTTAATAGGTTTTCTTTGTGTGCAACCTGTGCAACAGTTAAAAGTAACTGGATTGGGATCGTATGGCGCCATTTGGAACAGACGTGCGAATAGCCTCTGCCTCTATAGTAACAATATGTAAACATAATATATAAAAAATTTGATCGAATGGTGTTTTTGGCCTCTAGGGACATCAAAATGAAAAAGTAAATCGGTCCTGGGCTTAGGTCTTACCGTGCCACCTACGGTAATAGCTACTTCCCATATAATAAAAAAATTCGTTAAAAACAGATTAAGTAAACAAAAAATATTTTTTTAATGACCAAGGTTCAAAAAACTGGTAATAATATTGATTAGATTTATTACCCGATGAGATAACAGCGTTTTAAGAAAGAAAACCTATTATGTATCTTAATTATTTCCAACCAGTATTCCCAAACTCATTTATTTTCCCTAGTACTATAAATACTCGATAAAAATTCGATACGAGCATATTGGTTTCCCTCTAAAATTGCCGTTAAATAAATATCATAGCAATATTTTTCCAAGGAAGGATAACATTTGGGCCGCCGATAGAATAAACAAATAGGGCTTGGAGTGTTTCCAAAGTCTACTCGGGTCTTG